ATGAGGCGGCCTGGTGCAGCACATTCGGTTGCCTGAGATCATCATAAACGAGAGATTCAGCTGGGTTCCAGGTGAGTCTCTCTTAAAAAACGAAATTTGTTTGCAAATGAGTTCATTCCGCTAACACATCAATTTGGTTTCAATGGAGACTCAGATGGATCCCAACCAGTCTCTCGTTTATGATATCCTTCAACTGAATGTGTTCCACAACTGTTTCCTCTTATTCGTTCAAAATATAAAAGTACAGTTTCTTGGATGAAACTACTAACAAGTTCGCTGAAAACCCCCTAGGCAGCCCGCGACCGGTTTCGCCGTTGTTGGATCTCATCCTCCTCGGGCGTTGCTTCGGAAATACTGGAGTTTATTGGTTATAAGTGTATCGTTCGAACGGTTTTGATGTCTTGATTAGCTTTTGTCATGGTATGGCAGAGATGATTGCCGGCATAAGATACAAAACTGGTCTTAGATTTTGGTTCTCTAGTATCTTGATGTCGGAATGCCTTAAAGCTCAGTCTGGTATACGACAATCAGACTGTCCCACACAGAGGTACGAGCATAAACGCTTTGAAAAAGTTACGAGCTTCACAACGGAATTTGGTTTTAAGCGTAGCTTGGAATAAAAATCTGTCACGTGACCCTCTTTTTAACATCTACACATCCTGAGAACCAGGAAAATGCTGAGAAATAGATGTATGATTGAATCCTGATGATGAGTTCAATCACACGGTCGAATCTCCAGTCCATGTTTTGGGAAACAAAATGTTCGGTAGGGTGAACAGCACGTGACTAGGATAGTTCGAATTACTTTTGATTAATTACGGTAGTTGTCCAATTCGTTGCTTTCTTCTGCGTAGTTCTTTTGTCTTGGTGCGCCAATAAGAGACGAGTAGTGGTCAAGCACACGGGAATTTGAATACAATCCTTGATTACAATACCAGCGTATCACCACCGCCTCACCAGCATTTGCTGAAATGATCATTCGAGGTTTCGTCCTGCAAATGAAGTCACTCGATGCTTAAAGAAAGCTAAAAAGTTGCTGAAAACTGTTCGACAGCCCACGGCCGGTTTAGCCCTCGGGGGTCCTCAAGGGGGGGGAGGCACCGGGTGTC